TGGTTGCTGCAGTTTTGATGAGCCCTGGGCCAGATCCGCAGTTTTAAATCTGGCCTCATGTTGGTCAGCACGCAGGCCTCACCCTTAGACATTCTGATTCAGATAGTCTGAGAGAGAATCTCCTATGTGATTCTGACATGAATTCAAGGCTGAGAATTGCTTTGCTTGTTATCAGTGGTGGTTGGACCACCAGCAGCATCATAAGAAACAGACTCTGAAGTCCCAAACCAGATGTGCCATACTAGTCTCTGGTGGGGCCAGAATCTGGGTTTGACCAGCCGCACACCACTGACACTTCTGTCAGGTGAAGAAGCTGTTATGAAGGACATGACATGACTCAAGAGAGGGCAGCAGCGAAAGTCATAGAAATGCCACAGGCAGCAGTGTTTTGCTGGCCCACACTGCCTCCAGCTACTGTGGCTTCCCAGAGGGCAAATACTGGCCTTATTCATTTCCACCTCCTCCCAGAAGCATCCTACACAGAGCAGGCAGGAAATGCCTATCAGTATCTGTCAATCACTCTACCAGCTATAGGTATCTGATCTGGAAGGGAGTCAGGAACAGAACAGGACTTAACAAAGGCTTTTGGTTGTATCTCTCATCCCCGAATGCTTCAGCTACAGACCTTTTTTGTAGAATTCCTCCTTCTAAATCACAGAGTGCTGTTAGTCTTGGATTATTTCTGGACCACACTCTGCAGTTGTGCTCAGCAGCCTGAGCTAACTGGTCTAACCCATTAAGGAGCTCACATTGCAGATCTAGCTCTCCAATGTGGCGCGGCAGCAGATCACCAGGGCATGGCAGATCGCTTAGCATTCTAAGTCCTGAAGGAAAGGTGGGGGCTCAGTGGTCACCAACCTACTGTGCCTGTTGGTGATGGGACTCCTAAACCCATGGATAGAAGAATGGGAGGTGGCCACTGAAAATAAAGGAGTAGGACATAATCTTGTCAATACTTAGGCTAAACAGGACACAATAGATTCTGAGTTCATAAAATGACATCCTAGGAAGCTGGCAGTCATGGTAGCATGAGGATGGGCAGAGGAAATGGCCCATTTCCATGAGCTGGAGGTGGGGTATGGGGAGAGTGAAAAATTCCACAGGCCACAGACACCTCTGCCACACACTGTCCCAACAGGGCATACCTGATGGAGTTCATGGCAGAAATTCTGGTGGCTGAGGGCCAGGGGTTTAGCTCAGTGGTACCACTGCCTGCCTCGCAAGAGCAAGGTCCCGAGTTCGATCCCTGGTACAAAAAAACACAAAGAAAGAAAGAAAGAAAGAAATTCTGGTGGCTGGGATTAAGTTGCCTTACTTACAGTCAGGGATGAGCCACTGTGCCAGCCCTAGGGGCACCTCTGCAGGTGACAGAGACGTTCCCTGTGTTGCACCTGCTCCAGTATGCCCAGAACAGGGTCCTCCTTCCCAGGGCAGCGGCTTACCTGCTTCCAAATCTTAAGAGCAGGAGCTGACAGCACAAGCTCTGCACAGAGTGAGCAAGGGCCCATGCTGCCCAGGCCATACCTCTTCAAGGTCTCGGATCCCTCTTGAGGACACCACACCCATTCCTGTCCTCTGGGGCAGCCACTGGGTCAGAAGTATTTACCTGGGAATAACTTGATGGGGAGGCTGTGGCTGGTGCTGACCCTCTCTCTACCCAAAGGAGCCTGGTGGTTGGGCTGTACAGTGTCTGCTCCCAGGCTGGTATTATTTCCAGGACCTGGTGAAAGGCCAGGGTAAGGAGTGCCTGTGTAGCGCTTATCAGGCCAGGAGAGGCTAGGCATGCTGGGCACACAGAGCTGCAGCAGCTCCATACAGCTCTAGTCAGGCACACAGCACCCTCTCACAGCCCTCACCTCCTAGCTGTCCTCTAACCCCAGAATTTCTGGCCAGTCCCCAGGGCTCCCTTCCACTGGGCAAGCACACCCAGCAACATCAGATCCAGTATCCTTCACCCAACAGCCCCAGAGCTGTAGTCACCCTGAAGCCCAGGACCAGGACTCAGGAGTGTTTGTGTGATTCTGAAGTTCCACCTGCCTCAGGTGCACACAGGCATGTGTAACAGCCACACACATACGAACCCTTGAGCCAACACCGACATGAGGTTGCCATCCAGGAGCCACTGTCAGAAGCCCACTTGCATTTGCCAGCGAGCCCTTGCTCAGAGCTCGACCCCATCCTTAGGCCACAGGGAGCCAGAGACAGGTGCTACCAAGGCCACAGGAGTTTCTGTTCTTCACCTGCAGCTTCGAGAATCTGGGGTAGGAATCCACACATTTGTGTTACAGAGGATTTGTTTTTCTATCTTTTAATTTTGTACTTAAAATACTTGGAAAGATAGGAATGCTTTGTATTTGATGGCATATTTCCAAATGAAGCTGCCTCTATCTTAAAAATCAGAAGGCATGGAAAGGCACCCTCAGTGGCCCTTAGCAAAGCAACCAGCAGGTGAGCTGTTGCACTGGGGGGGGGGAGCCTACGGTTCCTATACATCTTCACCATCTCCTTACCCCAAGACTAAATGTCCGGTCCTATTCATGCCAGCAATTCCCTCTGAATCACGCAAGCGTTCTGGCCACGGGATTCCAACACCGGAGCAAAGCTGCAGTCTCCATTACAGAGGGGAACAAGAGGTAAATAACACTGAACATGTCATTTAGGCGCTGATAAAAATAGTCAATATTTTCTAATACGCCAGCTTTGTGAACACATACTGTTTCTTCTGTATCTACAAAGTTTAGAAAAATTAGCATTTTGTTCTCAAAGGGAGTATGCCTTAATAAAATGATTAAGCTCAGCATTATTTTCTATTTAAAAAAAAGTTTAACTTCTTATCCTGGACAGATAGGTTCCTTCTGAATCAGTGTACTTCTTCTTAGGATGTGGATTCTTACTTTAAGGAGCTCCTCTTTCACATATATACAGCTTGTCAAAAACTAGAAATTCTACTAAATACTGTAATAAAGAGCAAAAAACAAAAGAGCAAAACAATTTAAATTAGTTACCATAAAGTTACAAGATAAAGGAGTTTAAGATTTTTGAAAGTAAGATTTTCAAGTGGCTATTTTCATCAAAATGCCATTTTTCTACAAGCTTTTGTACTCATGTTCTTTCTGTAATTCATTTCTGGATATTTTGGGTGCGGTAACCCTTTTTTGTCTTATAGATATTATTTTCATGAATTTATTGTTTTTACATAGCCGACAATCATTCATTTAAAGCTCTCAAAGCCGATCAAGTTAGATCTCATCAACCATATAATGCAGACAAAGTAAGCTTCCACCCAGCCAATCCTTTACTGTCTTTGTGGGTCGCAGATATCCACCTCCAAGACAGGAAGCCCACACATTCGCTTTGCTAGTCCTACACACACACTCTCACACTCCAAGAGGCTTTAGATAAGGCAATGTGTGTACTGTTAGCTTGCTCTGTGTCCTGTCTGGATGCTGATCTGAACCCTGGCCAAGACCCTTTGAGGTTAAATGAGCCCAGCAGACCTGAGATAGATGTCAACCCACTAACTCTCTCGAGTTTTCTTTTTCAGGGATTATGACAAAATCTTTAACTTGTCTTCTGTTAAATACTGAGTTTGGCTGCAGTTTTAATTTCTTCAGGACCACTAAGTGCATGTTTCTAAAAACTGAGAATCTTAATTCAAGGCTGGGAAAGAAAAAGATAACTGGAGTCAGAGCTTAGCCTCAAGGACTATCATGAAAATAACCAAGCTGTTATTTTAATTTAAACTTGGTTTCCCATATTCTTTAGCTAACAGTTGACAAAAACAGCAGGATCAAGCCAAAAACAAAAACATTGTCAAAATAGGAAAGCTAGGTCACGATATGAACTATGGGGGAGAGATGGCAGACGCCAAAGAATGGTTTTTAGGTGGTCAAGGAATTAAATGTGAATGAACTGGGGACTCCTTAATATGCTAGCTGCTTTCATGACCTATAAAATGTACTGATTATATGAAAAATAGGGTTAGAGATTTGTGAGAAAAAAGTATTTATAAATATTGATAGTTTATTCCCTCAAATCCTTTAATTTGCCTATATTCCCTAATTGAAATCTATGAAGTTCATGCAGCTCTTTTCTTCGTAAGTAATAAAGATTCAGTAATTTATAGGGTGAAATTAGAGGATGGTTCAATTTATTCAGCATGTGCCTATAAAGGCAAATAAAGGAATTGTTTAGAATTAAGAGTACATTTTTAAATCTCAAATTTAAATGTCTCATTGTAAAACTCTCCTCATGAAGATTCCAGACCTAACATTTCAAATAGTGATGAGGAAAGCAGCTCAGCCGAGTTGCCTGCTGCATTTGTGGCAGAAAAATGACTGTTATGAAAAATCAGCAGGAAAAGCAAATAAGACAGGTACGAGATGCACTTAGGTTCAAAATTTGTCTTTAAATAGCTGGAATGTATGGGGAAGTTTTAAAGTACCTTTTTCTTACATATTAATAAAACTTTCCATATGAAGTGGGAATTAATTTTTTAGGCCTGCTTATCTTTCTTCAGCAGCAGTGCTAGTAGGGAGGGTGCAACACATTTCTTCTTGGTAAATTAAGGTCATAATGAAAGCTATTCTTAAATTGTCCTTGATACACCAAGTCGAAAAAATCAAATAAAACAAATGTTTTATATCGTACGTGTGATCATAAGATCTGGCGATTCTAAAAAATGTGATGACTTTTGTCTTTTAGGTATTTTTATCCCGTTGGTATTAAAATGCAGATGTCCTTTAAGTTAAGCTAGAAAGAACGGAAATAAATGGAATTAGTGAGTACTTAAAATACCATGGATGAAAAGTGATGAAAGTGACTCATACTCCCTGAAAGTATTCTAGTTGTAGATCATTCTAGAATTTTAAAGTGTGTGTGTGTGTGTGTGTGTGTGTGTGTGTGGGAGTGTTACAGAAATCCCATGCTCACAAATAATCACATTTGGAACTATTGCAATCAAACATTTATTTTCACATTTGAATCATATACAGGGAGTGATTCACACCAATACGAACAGGTTCTTTCTTGTATCTCTCATTCCATGGGCATGACCTGTTAATCATTTATTTTTCATTGTTGCTGATACAACAGAACCAAGTGCACTGACACCAGTTACATCTCTTCTTCCCTTTTCACCAACGTCCCGTTTTTTTCCAAAGGGTTGTCCCGGTTTTTTCCAAAGGGTTATCCCGGTGCTGAGTGATTTCTAAGCCAGTCACAGAGGCTATGCTTGCAGTGGCCTATCTAAATTGCAAGCTGTGATACGGTCAAAGAAATTAGACTGAAGAAGGCAGATAAGAGTTATAAGTCACTACAGTAACAGCAATGATAATAGTTTAAGTTCTCTAATACTGTACTAAAAACCAAAAAGAAATACGACCATAGCTTTCAGTGGCATACTGTTTGCATATATGCAAAGGCCTAGTATGTGTAATACACACAGAAAAAATAAAAATCAAACTGTTTGTCAAAGTCTTTTCTAATAGAAACTGCACTAAGCATGTTTACAGAGCTTGATTTTATTTAACCCTAAATGGAGACGCATTTAAAACAATCAGTGTGTTTAAGAATGAAAAACGCCAACACATTTTTCATGGTCTGACATGGTTTCATATAGTTGCTTTAGCCAAGATTTTTTTTGTGATAGATTTTCATATTACGGAATAATACCCTTGAAGTAATCATTCATATTTTCTATTTAAATACTATCAAGGAATATGTCTAGAGAATTTGGGGAGAAAAAAGAAAAATGTATATTAGTGTAGTTCTTAAAAAAAAATGGAGTTTTTGTAGGGGAAAGGATTCAAGTAACATCAAGTTCTGCCCGCTTCTTAAGAGATAAAGAACCAGATTGAAGAAGGGCAGGGTCACAGCCTTGATCCAGAACATGCTGTTCTCTCCTGTCCTGCCTGAACCCCACTGCAGGCAGAGGGTCCCAGTGCGAGTGACGCAGGAGATGAGCTCACACTCAAGACCGCTAACTCGGTACCAAATGCTGGGAAAGGCCCATTGTGATTTCACTTTAAAGTTTCCCATTTGTAAAAAATGCTGAGAATTAATACTTAATGTTTCCTTTTTTAAGTGAAAAGGAGAATTTCTCCTAGCACTACACAGAACACGTTGTAGTTTAAATTCTAACACTGTCAAAATTCAGTAAACAGACCCATGAACATAAATGTTTCATACGCTCTCTTCTTCCATGAAGCACTGAGTTATAAGAAACTTCGCAAAGGAATAAACAAGTGCTCGCTCCCTAGTTCAAGCACCAGTAATTAGTAAATGAGCACAGGTGTCACACAAAGGTCTAAAACACAGGCTGCAGGTCAGGGGCATGCAGTAGGACAGGCTGGACAAAGAATCACATGTATAACATCATCGCTCTGGCTCCAGTGTGCGCCCAGAAAGAACTGAGGGCTTTGGGCTCGGACAGCATCAGACAAACAGCCAAGGTACATGTGGTGATCTGGAGTGGGCTGGGCTGGAAACACACGCACACACGCAGCCTGGTAATAAAGAAATGCTCCTGATGTTTTCTGTGGCTTTGTAAAATACAAAGTGGGAACTAGGCAATGTTTGCCAAACCGAAGAAAAGGCAGGTGGGGAGCCCACACAGCCTTCAAGCTTCTGCGGAGATAAGATTAAACAGTGGAGTTTGAAAACAATTGCTGCTGAGCCCTTTAGCACTGCTTTTTAATTAGTTTTAAATGTTAGCCATCCCTGTAATGAACTCAGAATAGAAATGTATTTGGATAATTTTTAGAGATTGTTGCCATTTATGACTCTTTGATACAAGTTTAAATAATGAGTTGGCATAAAAAAGAGATACTCAGGCTTGCTAAGCCCCAAAACCTCCGATTTTATATGTGAAAATATTTTTGAAATTCAAGAAATAAATCCCTTTTCCCCTGCATTTTAATTTATATTAATTATTCTAATTGGCTATAGGATCTTTACTATTTCCTTTTTAAAAATTGAATTTACCATCTGCTTTAGTCTGGTTATATCTGATAATTTCTACTCTAGGACTGAAATCAAATGATTAAATTTCTAAGCCTTCTGAAATCTGCTGAAGGTTGGTCTGGGCTAGCTAGCTACCTTAGTGGTTAGTGCCTTTATCATTCCTAAAATAATTGACCAGTTCTTCCCAGATAAAGATTACTGTGGCTTCTATGTATCAGTAGTTATTTAAAATAAAAATTTTTTAGAACAAGAAATGGATTATATATCCTAAAATCCAGGAGCTATTAAGTTATTTAAAGTTGTGAGTCTTATCAACTATTATCCATGAGATAAAGCTGATTTTAATATAAAGGCCGTCCTCCATCTGGAGAACAGACACAGGGCCGACATCAGTGGACTCATGCCGCGGTCTGCAGTGTTGGTGGCATTGTGAGCACATTTCTGCTCATGTCCTTTCCTGTAACGCGACTTGATGCACATCTTTTATTCAAGTGACTTGAAAAACCATTCTTTTCACTTAATGCTGGCGATGGGAAGGCAACTGAGTCCAGTCATCTTTGCGCACTGCTGAGTCTTTTTTTTTTTTGGTACCGGGGATTGAACTCAGGTCCTTGAGCTTGCGAGGCCAGCGGAGGAACCACTGAGCTAAGTCCCTGGCCCACTGCTGAGTCTTTTAACAGGTAGGAATTTTCTATGACACCTTCTTGCATGAGAGATATAAAAAAATCCAAAATTAGAAGAATGAATTTTTATTTTGGAAACAAAAACCCCAAATTCAAGACCAATCGAAATACTCTTAGATATTGCTTAAATCTAAGCTGTCAACCCTCATTGACTTTCCTTGTAGCAATACCATAGACATACACACACCATAAATGACCACCTCAAATTTCACTTTTCCATTAGAAGAATCAAGGAACGCAATTCAGAAATAATATCACATCCTGCATTTTATTCAGTTCCATATGACAAAAATAGTAACCTAGACTAAGACATCCATTTCAATCAGTAGATGTGTCAAGCCACAAGATTTAATCATAAAAAATATTGGATCTAGGTAACAATTCCCAGCTGGCTCAGGGAAGTCCTCACCCTGCATGGTATTGCAATAAAAAAATAGTGTCTCTCTTCACCATGCAGGGATGAGCCAGCCCTGAATACAGACTGGGCCGGTCTCACTGTCCCTTCACGAGCCACCTTATTTATAACACTTTACATTTCTCTTTTCTTAAGTTATATACACATCCTTCTGGGAGAAGAGAGGACACTAACATAGTACCAAATACTAACCAAAACAAAACGAAACACACCGAAAGGACACAGATAAATAACAAAACATTCGACTGCTGAAACACAGCAACGTTAAGCCACCTTGGTTCCCTCTTCCCAATGCCGACACACCCCTGTCACTCATCCCCCAGGAGAGATGGCATGACACGGAGGTGCCACATGTCACCACATGGAAAACAGAGTTGCAGAGTTCAACGTTCATTTCCAACAGAAACAAACAGCTAATGAGCCTTTGAAACTCTTTGTTCAACAACACGCTGGCAGAGGAGCCCGTCCTCCTCCAACACCTTTTGCTGTTGCTGGACTTGTGTGAGAAAGATGGTTCTATTTTTCTGTTTCAACTGAGAAGATTCACTGTCTGATTCATTCTTCAGGGGCTGACAGCTCCTTGAACTGTTACCCAGCTACTCACAATATCTCTTGAACAATTCTGTTGTTGGAAGTTCATTGTGTCAGATCCCAGCATACTTGCAACGCATAAAAATGAGGTAGTACACACAACACTGACGTTCAAGTTTTGATTTAGCCCCACCTCCCAGCCTTTGCTCACTTGATGCAACTGAGATAAAGTCATCAGCGTAAGACCATATTTGCAATAATCAGAGGACATTGTGCTTTGTTTTCATTTGAGAAGATAATAAATAAATCAGGAACTCAGGAAATTTCAAAGTTATGACTGATTATACTGCTGGACACTATTTCTCTTGTTTATTGAATGCGGTTACCAGCACTATTAGGCAGTCACCATCCTGTGTGTGTGTGTGTGTGTGTGTGTGTGAGAAAGAGACAGGAGAGCTTACAGTAAAAATCACACCTACACAATGTCTCTCAGTTATTTTTGGACTTGTACTGATGTCACAGTTCTAAGATTAATTTGTCAAAGTTTCATTAGGGTGGTCACAGTTTTTCAATGGGCTTTGTAGAAAAGTTAAATAAATCATGTTAACTTAAGAAATGGCAGGCCTTATTTTATCGAGGCGCTGACAAGTGTTGGTGGCTTTTCTGCTTAAGTAGGATAGATTTCTTGTATTGTTTGACTTTAAGACAAAACAAGAAACCATAACAGGGTTTTTTCCCCCCATTTTCCTAAATCAAAGTACTATTTATAAAATACTTTACATCTTTTAAAATTTTCAAATTATAGACAAACCTCCCTAATACAAAATACTAAAAGTGCAATCGTATAAATTAAGAGTTTGCAACCACATTATACAAACATTACCTTTTTATTGTACAGCTTTGATGTTTACTCACAACTGTTTATAATGTTGTGAATAATTTACGGTGATGTATGTCTGTAACTTGTTCCCCAATCAATCACTGGGCTACAGACCACACTAGAGAACAACTGTCCACATAGCAGCTACAAACATTTAAGTTAAAAAAAATAATAAAAGGCTTGTTACTGACAGGTACTTGCACACAAAAAGCATGCTATCTTTCCCAACAGAACGTCACAATTTTGCCTGCGTTGAAATAATCCACTTATTTATAGTAAAACAAACTTTGTTTTTTTTTTAAAAAAAATCACATAGCCAGATGTATTCTGCAGTACAAAAGCTTCATTTAAGGTTGGGGCTATTTTATTGTCTGTTACCCGCATAATCTTAACATTATAAATACTACGGACGAAGATACTGTCGTAATACACAGCATTGGGAGTACTGAACCACTTCTTTAAGATGAAGAGTTCCTAAAACATAGTTCAAGTTTCTAACTAATTCGAACAAAACCATCGAGAGGGGTTCACTGGAATACCCCTGAAAGGGTTATTAGGTTTTAGGATAAAGGCAGTGGATATGAACTGAGCTCTTTCTGTTCTAAGGCGGTTTTCCAAGCACTTCTTTTTTTTCTTTTTAACTGGAATTTATTTAAAAAGTTGCAGAGTTCTTAAGAACAGTCAAACCCACTGTTGAGCAGAGTACCATGCAGCGCTCACAGACGACCTTTTGGCAGCCACATGGTGAAAGTATTTTCTGCCATAAGTAAAATTTTAATGAGAACCTAGGCATGAGGGTCCAAAGCTGACGCTCAAACTGCAAAATGTGAATGTGGACAGAACAGATGAATTGAGTCCCAATGAGTCCAGCTAGTTTATACCGATCTCTTTGTTATCCTCAACAAATCTCGTGAATGGACGGCTGGCTCCCGTCTCTGAGCTCACTTTGTCCAAACTGACAATGGGTGGGCTGCTGCTGGTGCGTGCTTTGTCCATCCCACCAGTCATGGTACCCAGAGGGGGAATGGCACTTCCGCCTAGACTTACTGGGAGCTGGGGGATACCTCCATTCTGAATGACAGAGATCTCGTTGTTCTTCATGGCGAGCCCATTAGTGATGGCTGCTGCATACTGGTTCCAAAAGCTAGGGTCAACATTCATGGCTCGAGCTGCCAGGTCCTTCTGAAACATTTCAGAGAACTTCAGGGCATCACCACCTAGCAGGGCCATGGGGTTTTCCACAGACAAACGGCGACCACGCCTTGCAGGGGCATTATTCCACATGTGAGTTCCCATGTGTACCTGTGTAAGATGGACAGACAAGCCACAGTAAGAGAGTCCATAACTTCAAGGTGGGTATGTCCTGTTTCTGCTGTTCCACAATGCTGACCCCATCCGAAGCATTAGCTTGGCCATAGTAAAACACAGTTAGGGAAGTTTTTCTGAGCATCTTATATATGCAGTCTTTCATCTTGTGAATGCAAAAACCAAAACCAGCAAATAAGTTAACGAGTGTGTTCTTTTAGTTAACACACCTGATAAACAATACCAAAAAGGCCACAGGGAATTTCTAGAGCTCCAAGGATAAAGGGCTTTGTCCATTGCCCACCTCCCGGCTTAAACCATCTTCTATTTGAACTCTTCATTGACTAGTACCTCTTTCCTCCCTTTCTTTCAAACAAGGAAGTACTAATTCTAAAACATCTTGGGGCCATCTGCATCAACAGAGTCCTCAGGCAGCTCTTATCCTTACAGTCCTTATTGGACTTTGCCTCTGCAGAGGCTGTGCCTCGACACAGGCAATCTCTGTAGACATGCTTTACAGAACACGAGACCAGCATATTTAGCTGAGGTCATGTGGATGCACACCCTAGAGTCAGCAGCATCTTGTCCACAGTGCGTCCCCTGAGGAAGACACAGTGCTGCTGTAGTCTTCAACAGGGACATAACTCAGCATCTGTTTTCTCTCTGGCCCTCCCATTCCAGGGAGCTTCTCACTAGCACCCTTCCCATGGGCCTTCTCGGCAGCCCCCCTTCTAGAAGTCACTGAGCAAGCCTCATAGTTGTCTTATTTGTATTATATGTGAGTGCTTAAAGGCCAAGTTTATTTTGTTATCAGATTCAAGAGAGCTTTGCCATGTGTGTGCCATCACCCCAAGTACCAGAGCAGGCCAGTGTCAGAGGCATAGGTGGACATGTATCCTGGACAGGAGGCCCAGTGTCCTGTTTTTCCCAATGTTGCATGGGATGCACACTTTGAGAGTATTTGCATATGAACACATAGGTACACACTCCACATGTATAGACATGCACACTCCATACTACGTGGCTACACCACATTCATACTCAGACACATAACCCACTTCATACCCACACACAAACACCCCCAGCATCTTATCCTCTGGGCCAAGGTAAGAGCAGAATTTCTGCCATCCAGTCCAAGACAGGTAGCACAGGGAGGAGTCCACAGGTACCCTGTTGGTTCGGCCACAGCTTCAAGCCCATGGTCCCCTTACCTTGAGGTTGCCCTTGGTGGTGAAGGCCCTCCCACAGATGGTGCAGCCGAAGGGCTTCTCCCCAGTATGAGTGCGCTCGTGGATCTGCAGGGCACTGGCCGAGGAGAAGGTCTTCCCACAGGACTGGCAGTTGTGCTGCTTCGGAGTCCGGCGTGGTGGAGGTGCCAGCATGGGTGCCAGGCCTGGGGTCATCACTGTCTGGGGCCCTGTGGGGACCTGGACTCCAGCCGGCAGTGGTGGGCCCTCGCCCAGTGCGATGGCCTTGCTGTGACCGTTCACTTCCATTTTGATCATGGTGGGTGCAGGGCTGGAGACCAGGCTAGGAGTGCTGTGGCTGGGACCTAGAGTAAAGTTGGGGTCAAATACCTGAGAAGGCAGCTCTTTCAATCTGTGTGTCAGTAAGTGCTGTTTTAAATTACCCATAGTGGAACACCCCCGCCTGCAGACTGAGCAGACAAATGGCCGTTCCTTGGTATGGCTGCGGTGGTGGATTTCCAACGCACTCTTGCAAGCAAAGGGCTTGCCACAGACACCACACACAGTGCTCGTACACTTACCCCGCTCTCTGTTCAGGAACAGCAGGCTGAAGGGGGCCTCCTCCTTGATGATGGGCCGGGTGGGGTGGCTGGCTGTCAGGTCCAGGGCACCTCCATTTCCTGGGCCTGGGGGTGGACTGTCTGGCCTTTCTGTCTTTAGCGGGATCTCCTGTGGATCCTCCTGATTGCCAAAGCCTGGGGACTTACAGCGGAAGCTCTCACCATTGCTGTTGGTGGGTGACAGTGCCTGGGAGGATGAGGATTCCGACAGGGCAGGGCTGCCTGCACTGCGGCTCTCCAGGTCACCCACCGCAGATGAGGAATCGTTACTCAGGTGATCACTTTCCCCAGATCCATTTTCCACGGATTTCAGGCTGGTCAGCTGCTGACAGTTCATGACTGAATCAATCATTTTCATCTGATTCTCCAGGGCAGCAATGCTGGAGATGACTGAGGGAGGTGATGGGGGGCAGGATCCTGAGTAGGGAAGGAGTGGTTTGGACGAATCGCTGGCTGCGTCCTTCAGTTCTGCGTCCTCCTCCATTGAGTTTTCATCGATGTCATCATCATAGCTGCTCAGGGTTTCCACATTCTTCTCATCAAAGGGCAGCTCTGCATCCATGGCATCCTGGAAGCCCTCTGGCAGAGGTGTATTGGGGATCTGCCCTCCCATGTGCATGCGGATGTGCTGCTGCAGCACCACGGCATTTGTGAACTTCTTCTGACAGATGGGGCAGGAGTGCTGAACTCGAAGGGGTGGTTTGGCGCGGTGGACCCCAAAGTGTGTCTTCAGGTTGCCTTTGGTGGTAAATGCTCGGCCACAGATCTTGCATTTAAAGGGCCTTTCCCCTGTGTGCGTCCGGTAGTGCATCTTTAGGGCGCTTTGACAGCTCAGCACCCTGTGGCAGATGACACACTGATTTGGATCCGTCATCTTCTTATCGATGTTCTCTACCAACTGCTGCAGTTTCGAGGTTTCTGACGTTTGCATAGAGTCGAGCAGGCCACCAAAGGGGAACTGGGCCTTGAACTGGTCAGAGGCTGCTGGAAGACTGGGGCTGCCAAGGCTCGTGGAAGTGCTGTCTGTGACAGCAGTGACTGCAGACGTGGGCACAGCACTGATCTGCCCAACAGGAATGTCCACTGTCCTTGCGTTTGTACAAGGCAGGCTGCCAGGCTCAGTTTTAGTCAGAGAAGACCCACTGAGGAGCGGCTGTGGGGACTCAGCTGACACTGGGATGCTGGTGTCAGCATGGTTGAGGCCTGGGGACAAGGAGGTGCATTCACTGGATGCAGGAGAGGGTCTCTGTGGGGAGCGACTGATGGGGGTGACACTAGGGGAGTCGTTGTAGCTGTGAGTGCTGGGGACCGTGGGGGGCAGCTGCAGTCCCACAGATGTGGGCACTGTTGGCAGCACTGGTTTGCTGTCCAGCCAGGTGGTCACTGGCTTCTCTGGGGGCAGTGACATGCCATAGGGAATCCCAGAGCAGGTGGGCACATTGTCGAGGTACTCCGGGACGGGGTAGGGGTTCATCTGGATGTGGGGGTACTTCTCCTTGTGCCTCTGGAAGTGCACCTTCAGGTTGCCTTTGGTGGAGAAGCGGTTCCCACAGATGTTGCACTTGAAGGGCCGCTCACCAGTGTGTGAGCGCAAGTGGATCTGCAGTGCACTGTCGCTGCCGAAGACCTTGGCACAGAACCTGCACTTGTGCTTGAAGAAGGGGTCCTCAGCACTGGCCTTGGGCTCGAACACTGACACGTTGGGTGGCTTGCCCTTGCGGTGTTTCATGAGGGCCGACAGTGGGTCCAGTGCGTTGGCCGTGGCAGCAATGCTGACCAAGGGGTTGGGGAAGATGACGCTGCTGGAGGAGGTTTGAGGTAGCAGAGGGCTTGGCAGGCTGGGGGCGGAGCTGAGCAGGGGCCCGGGGCCCAGGGCAGGGGGTGTGGGCGCGTTCTGCGGCTGCGGGGTGCTGCCAGGTGCGGTAGGCCCTGCGCTGGAGGCTGGGGGTGCTGTGCATTCCGCAGGGCTGGGGCCACCTGGGGGGCTTGCTCTGGAGGTGGACTGCGTCAGGGGTTGGGGGCCCTCGAAAGTGGCCAGTGGGGCGGCTGGGCCCGCAGGGCCAGGGACTGGGGCAGCAGAGAGCTGCAGGGCAGGGTGTGCAGCCAGGGAAGTTGGGCCAGCTGCACCAGGCGCCGCTGCTGAGGGGTTCAGGGGTGGCCGCGCAGGCTGGCGGCTCATGAGGGCTACCTGGCTGCGTATCTGCTCGATGAGCTGCAGCTGGTGAATCTGCTGCTGCTGCAGGGCCACCAGCTGCTCCAGGATCATGGGGATGGCCACAGCGCCAACGCCCGTGCCTGCTGTGCCACCTGCCGCGCGTGTGCTCTGGGAGAACTGCGCCACGGCCACCTTGGTGCTGAGCAGCGTCTCAAGGGTCACATTGGTGCTGGGCATCCCGAAGGTGGCTGCGGCTGGCTCAGGGCCTGGGGCCAGGGGTGGGGCTGGCGGGGCAGGAGCACCCTGGCCTGTGCCGCCCTTGTCCCCGGGCCCCTCCACGTCCATGGGCTCGAGCTCGCGCGCTGGCGCCTGGGCCTCGCCCGCCTCACCCTCCGCCGGGGTGGCCTCCTCCGCGGGCTCGCTCTCAGCCTCAGCACGCTCGCTGGGTGAGCTGGCGGGGGAAGCTTCCGGGAACTCCTCACCGGGCGGCTCAGGCTCATCCTCGCCCACGATGAGCACCAGCGGGTTCTTGGTGCAGCTCTCCTTGTGCTGCAGGAAATCGGCCCACTTGAAGAACTCGGCGCAGCATTTCTCACACACGCTGGTCTCCTCACCGCCACTACGGCTCTCGTTCCCGCTGTCCACGTCCTCTGCGCCTTCCCCAGGGACGCCTAGGAAACCAAGGGACGATATCAGCCGGCCTGCTAGTCAGCCACCCTCCGTCTCAAAATTTTGCCCATAAGTAAAATCAATATTTTTTTATTTTGTACAAATTACCCCACTTCAACATTTCTGACGTCCCAGCGTGTGTGTCCTATGACTCTTTCTAGCTAGCTAATCATTTTCTTAGCACAATCCATCAAATTATGAGGCTCTATCAATTGTGGATACTGCTTCTTAATGAAATTCCATAGAAGCCATCGATTTCCAATATTTTCATACAATCCGCAGCCACCCTGTCTGTTGGGTACAAAGCCAGCTTCGATGGGCTCATTAGGGCTCCCCTTCACCATCGGGCTTCCTCATTTCCAGTGAAATTACAGATGCCTCTGCCAGTTCACTTAACATTGCTAACCTAATCCACAACCTCCCCAGTGCATCAGCACTTGAAGGGAGCTGCCTGCACTCTGGTGTGGTCTCGGCTGCTGCACGGATTTATTATCTTTATGCAGGGCTGAGGCTGTACAGATCTAAAGTAATTCTATAGAACCTTTGGAATCAATAGGCATTTTTTTCATGTAGGAAATTTTGGCTAAATACTTTCATTTGTAAACGTAACAAAGAAAATATAAGCACTTCTTACATTTCTGCTGAGAAAAACAATCTCGACTTAAAGAGTTTGAGCAACCAAGCTACTTGCACCTTTTTGTCTCAGACTTCCCTTATAGAAAGGGCGCATTTCTACATTTTAGATTTGCCAGATGACTATCAATATAGGCTAGGTCTAAAATGGATCATGTTTAATATAATTAATTGGCTCTGTCAGATGCAATATTTCTTGGCAAAATGAACTAAAATTACATGTTATTGTGATTAGCCAATAGAGTTTAGTGGTTTGTTAACAAACTAGAAATTATATATTTAAAGTTCATTTATGTTGACATGTTTAACATGAGAATGTTGTAGTCAGACACACTTTTTGTACCTATTTTCATCTATTCTCATAGAAAGACTTAGCAAATTATATGCTTGTGCCATAGTGGAAAACCCTCTAATTGGTTACACATGTTTAATTACTGTTGTAGGCAGCCACTTCCTCTGTCTCCCCTTACCCTCTTGTGCCGAATAACAACCGTGTTTAATGAACAACTCTAATTCACACCTGATCAAATAAAGAGCTGTACAGGAACGAGACATGGACACATGATCACACTTCTGGCTGCTACCTTTTGGATAGCTGGGGTGTGCAGTCCCACCCAGGCACTGCTCAGTTCCCTGAGCCAGCTTGGGTATTACTGACTCTTAGCTGCTTTTTGTCAACTTACAGATGGAGTGACAGCAACAAATCAGTTTGAACACAGCCGAATGACAGCTGCAAATCAGCTCTTTGTTAAACATGCATAGTTGAATGTGAGAAAAAAAATCCTCAAAGTCAGTGTCCCTGGAAATAATTTAATGTTCTATCATCAACACATGGATTTGCTAAAAAGTCTCAATTTTTTCTTTTAGGGTTTTGGAAAAACAGTTCAGCAGTAGTACTGAACTGAGTTCAGTAGAGAAACCTGATTTTTAAAAAATCACCCAGAAAAAGTACATTGCTCTCTCTCCTGGAAAAGAAATAAAAATATTTTTTGAGGCTAGTCTGCTGCTCTCCATGAGGCCATTATTTCCAGGTAATTTATACATGCCTTTAAAAAATTATTAGCAGCATTCAATTAGCATTTTCTTAACTGGCTAAGCCATTTGAAGGGGAAAAGAAGTTAGAGCTCGCAGCCCATAAAGCCTCCTAGACTTTTAAACTAAATTCAGCACGGAAGATCAGGCTGCAGCAAGCAGTCTCATTACAGCGCGGAGGAAAGAATGTAATAGGTATCTGTAATGAGGTTGAGGGTAGCTGCAAGCAAAGGCACAGCCGATTTATACTGCAGATAGGCGCATTAACAAAATACTCAGAGCACTCAACTTTCCTCAATATATGCAAGATGTAATTGTAAACCTGCTAAGGTTATGGAACAGAGCAAACAAAGCAAAACACAACAAAATAACAACCTCAAATCTTCAGGTAAATAGTATCTTAGTGATTGATGAGAAAAATAAGGGCTACTTAAAATTCTAGTCTTGGAAGAATTCCTGCTTTAAAATTTCTTAATTGTGGAATGTTTAGACTTATTTATTAAAAAATAATCTAAATGGACATTTAAAAATGTTAATCTGCATTAAGCAATCAAATGATTAAACGGGGACAGACTTCAAAAGTTATTTTCCAATATTTAAAAGCTATGATATAAAAAGTATTAATACTTTTTTAAAAAGTAGCAACAAAATTAAAATTGCTAATTCCTTGACATATTTTTCACACATAACTTCATAGATGAGGTAAAATGTATAACTTATATGATATACAAAAACATTCACATGCTATGTAAGTTTAAAATTTTACAAAGTTAAAATATTTCATTAAAGGAACAGTTTTCTTTATATGAAGTATCTTAGGACAATTCACTGAGAAAATGCTTAAGAATTATGTTGACTTCTGGATCATTTAAAGTCAGTTCAGTGTTGAAAAAATTAATTTATTTATCTATAAATAAACTATATCTTTAAAAATGAACATTTCTCAGATTTTCTTTGTAACAAACTATAGCATGTGATATAAACACTTTTGTTTCACACAAAGATCTTATGCTTTTCACAAAGGTCTTGACCCAAACAAATCTCTATTTACTTTAAAGATTTGTATTTTTACATTCCTTTAGTTTTTTAATGTGTTAATAAGCATTTTTAGGGTTCACTTCCAAATGAATGGAAGTTGGGGAGTCTTCCCACAGGTAATTTCATTTTTTCTCATTGGTAGAGTGCTAAATTAACAACTGTTTCTCAATTGTAGATACTGTACCTAAATATTTAAGTGCTTTCAGCCAAGTATGTAATTTTGTTTAGTGGAATTTTAAGTGAAAATTACCTCAACATAATGAAGATATTCTTGTCAAAGAAAAACAATCTTCTACTTACATTCCTTCAAAATTGAAGAAGGAAACTGTAAAGCTGGCACTGTATCTGTTAAAGTTCACCATGCTAATGAACCTAAGGAAACTGACAACTGGTTAACAATTTGTTTATCACCAAAGCTTCATAATAAATTTGACTTCTGACTAGAAGATATCTTAAAAACTACAATTAGTGGCAGAAAAATTCTTCAATATAATTCAGATTTCTTATTTTGAGCAAATAAACAAGAATCAGCACTTACAACTTCTACTGGGGTTTGTATAAAACACCAGTACATGATCATCAAGTATTATTTTCACATGCTCAACTACAATTGCGTGATCAAAATCTGACTGCAATTAGCACTCTAAAAAAGTTGCAGAGAAGCACAAGTTTCATAAAATAGTCTTGAATACAAAAAGAAACTAGTATCTGACACCCAGGATTGAAATTTTGTTTGCATACTTTAAGATTATTCAACAAGTACTTTTAACTGAATTGATTGGCAGGAAGTAAGCCAAATGAGTATGTTTTACTGAGGACAGAGCTCTTTCGAAGTAGCAAGGCATTTTACTGATGATGTGCAGAGCTCAAGTGTTAACTTGTGATGCATTGTGAAGAGAAATTAGTTTTATAACTTGTTTTCATGACTCTTCTCATTATAATGATTACACATTACAGTGCCTACGTGCTAATCTAGCGTTATTTAAGTGCTCTCCATAATAAAATCTATGCACGAGAACTCTGAATGTAATTTGCAGTTGTATCATACAACTGCTAACCCTTTAATCCTGCATCATTTAAAGGGAATATTATGTCAGAATAAAATATATTTAACTACCTTTTAATTACACTAACTTTTTGAACTGGCTACTATACTCTAAAAATAGAAGTTATTACATCCACGAAAGTATGGCTTAAAATTGTTATTTCGATGTAAATCCTTGTTAAGGAGGCACTTTCTAACAATAGAACACCAGTAACAAGTTTGAGAAATTTATTACAAATGCAATGTTCTGTTTTCTTTCTTTAAAGGGGGAATTTAAAAACAAGCATTGTAAACATTATTATTAGTGTCAAAGTAATTTATTTTTTGCATACTGATTGTTTAACTACTAAGAGATCTGAAACTATAAACAGCCAAGGGATTGAGCATTACTTGCTGCCCTGGTCATGTATGAAAGTGAGGAAGGGAGTGGATTCGGCTCTGAGAACTCTCCCTTCACTGATGTCCAATATATATCAAACCCCTGATGCCGGGATCAGTCACCTGTACTATAGGGCTAAAATTACAATTCTTTTGGTTTGATCTACATATATCCCAACATTTGCTATTTACACTTAACCTTTTCAGGGTTTCTAACTCCACCACTATGCACATGTTCTTGCGTGATTTCTGTTTCTTGCTTGTATAGGAGGGAGAAAACATAGCCAACAGCATTTCAGAGAAACTCTTGAACGAAAGGGCAGCTTTGAAAGCAGTAGTTTCAAAAATACACGTATTTTTCTACACATGAGTAAAGCACACAGAAAATGATTAACAGAAATATTGCTATTCTTAGGACTGACTCTCACTGTGAAAGAAGCCACCAACAGTTTCTGTAGTCTTTTGGCTTTCATTCCTGGCTGTTACAGAACATACTCGTATCAAGTTTACACTGTATTCCAGAGAATGATGGGTCAGAAGATAGGTGGAATGTTTGGTCATGATCATATTTTTAAAAGTCTCAAGTAAAAACACAATGTATAAAAGTATTTGAGGCATAAAGCTTACTTTAAAATTTTCTAGCTACAGTTCTTGGCAAGACTTTTAAAAAAATTGTCTCTTTTCAGGAGTAAATAAGGTTGTCAATTACAAAGAAGTTGTAAAATAGGTATTTTGTAATTTTTAGTTACTTTTATTCTGCCACACTTTTGTTACACACTTTTGTTACATTACATTCTTAATTCATTACAATTAGCAAAGGGAGAAGCAAAACTTGTTTAAGTACTGGGAGAGGCATGCTAACCTCTCTACTTCAAT